TCTTGTAATCGAATAAAATCAATTTTCAATCCGACTCAGTGATTACTTTTGTGCGACTCAAAAGATTTCATTCGATCGCTCGTGGAAACCTCGAAGCCAGGCCGTCGACGCACAAGTTAGGGGCGGGTGACGTAATCGCGTCGATTCGATGGACTGACTTCGAGGATGAGATAATACGAGAGGAAAACGTTCAAAGTATTCGGAGTATTTAACCCTTTCGACCGGTGTCGATATACAGGGTGTCCCGTATGCCATTTATTCTTCTACTACTCGAATTAATATGTGAAACATGCCCCCAAGTGTTAGAAGAAAAAGTAATCTCTCGGTCACTATATATTTTTTTTTAATTTTTTTATTTGTTTATTTATTAAATATTGACATGGAACGACCTAGTATACGTGCGTGTGTCTCAAGTGAACATATCTGGTTGCCATTGGATAAATTAGAGTCGAGACTCGCGGATACGTACAGTAAATCCCATAAATATTCGTACTCTCTATGTCTACCGAAAAAGCTTGACCAAATTAATAAATGGTTTTGATTTTACCAAATGAATTTTTCAAGCTTATACTTGTATATATTTACGTATATATCATCGTATTTATACAAACGTACACTAGGAAACAATGAAATATAAACAAATTTCAATTTGCGTGTTTAAGGGTGTTCAACTTGAACAAATTTTTCCAATAAACATAGAGGGTACGAATTATTTATGAGGCTCACTGTATGTTAAAAAAATAACACGAACGTCATTTACGTCGAGGCAATTTGATTTTCAGCCGAGCTTAATTCGATGCAATTAATTTCTAAAAGAGTGAAAAATAGAATTCAAATGGAAATCGTCCGAGCCGAGAGGGTTAAATTATTCAAAGAATGGGGGACGTCTCGTATCGCTGTTAGATCCGAGCTCGATGGTAACGACTTCGAGGATTCCCGAGACGGTCTCTCCATTTTAGATTAGAATGTTTCATTTTCAAATTCTCTGCGACCACTCTGAGAATTTCAACCCCCCTTAGTTTAAGAAGCTCTATAATTGCTCATGCGTGGATTTCAATTATTTATTTTGGGGAAGCACGTACTTAAACTATAGTAGAGATGAGCAAAACCCTAGGCTTTGAATAAATCTGACATTTGCCGATGAGTTTGTCTCGTTTCCTACTTTGGAAAATGTTCAAAAGAGGAAAAGAGACAAACGTATCGGTAAACTTCAGATTTATTCGAAGCCAAGGGTTTTGCCCATCACTGAACTAGAGTTACGAGTGATCGAATACAGGGTGTCCCAAAAATGTTGAAGGTCCTTGAAAGGGGTGGTTCGGGGGGTGATTTGAAACAACTTTTTCCTTAGCGAAAATGTTAAGGAGATATTAACCGTTTGCACTCGAGGTCTTGTTTCCTGATATCTACCAATAACTCGAATGCTAAGCTTAGATCGACTTGGAAGACGTAGCCGGATTCGTGATCGCAAAATAATTTCAGATTTTATTGCACCTTTTACTGACCTTTACTGCACTGACAATCATTTTATTGGCACTTCGAATTCCTAAGAAATGAAACCTAAACAAATATTATTGTTGGTTGATTTACTGCGTAAAACCTAGTAGTGACGGAGAGTCGCCTCTCGAATGCAAAGAGTTAATAGAAAACCCCGACCAATCAGAGCGCGGTACACTAGCGAGTACCGTATACTACTGCGGCTGATTAGCGCGTACCCTATTCTACTGCGGCCGCTATCGCGTAGTCTATACTACTGCGAGCCCTCCACCGCCATCTTCCCGTTCTGATTGGTCGAGACTTTTCTGTTAACATCACCTTAACAAAATCTCGTACAACATTTTCGCTAAGGAAAAAATTGTTCCAAATCACCCCCCGAACCACCCCTTTCAAGGACCTCCAACATTTCTGAGACACCCTGTATAAATACACAGAATTAATTTCTACCCCTTAACGTATCTTCGTAAAAAAAAAGTTTACACATCAATTTCGATACTTTTACTACGCTTAATCTTCGCTTTTCCTTTTTTTTTTTCTATCGTAACATGTATTTAAATGTTGAGAAAATAGTTACTGAACGTTGCCAATGAAAGCTGCGTGCGTCCCTTTAAATTCACGTCGATCTTGCGGCCGATCACCACAAAGTGTGGGTAAATGGGTGTTTACACCTATCGAGAAATTCAGATCTGTTATGAGCCATTTTACTGTACGCAGTGGGTCTGAAAGGATTATTGAAGGATTAGCGAAGGCATATACAGAACAGCAGGTTCGACTAACCGTTCGCTTTAGATGTATGAGCGTTTACGATACCTCGGTTCCGGCGTAAGTAACGAAAAGCAAATTGTGACGTCCGTCCACACACGATGGAGTTTTGTTTATTTTTCGCTACGATGCGTTTCACTGTCACTTCGGTTTACATGCCTCGATGGAAACACTTTTTATCACACGTCACGTATCGTTGGATGGATGCTGGCGAATTCATAAATAGTGGTATCGATGATTCGCTGCGAGCGTGTTCTAGGGACCTTTCTTGAAATTTAACAGGAAACTTCGTTTTCATAGTTTTATTACGGTTTTGTTATGCTTTCGTGAGAATGATTCTCCGGGAGATTTCGGATAGCGTTAGGACAGTGTTTCCCAAACTTTCGCTCGTATAGAATCAAATTTCATTGTTATTTTTTCATAATACATTGTATCGCTAGTTTTGTTTTCTTTTTAAATATTTATAAATATTTTGATTAAGAGAAAGAGAGAGAATTTCCAAGTGTGCACGAGTCTCGAGATTTACTCGTTATCGTTTAATTTTGCATAGAATTGCATCGATCCTTGTTGAAAGTGCGAAATGGCACAGAAAATTTTAAGGCTACATCGTTATTTTTATATTTCATGTTTCTTTCTTCTAATGAGAAGTTTGAGAAGCACTGTCCCAAACGACATAATCGGCCACGAATACCACGATTTATGAACCCATCTACGCATCACACGTTTACTTTGTTTGACAAATGAACACAACCGTGACACATTTACCTTTTCACCCTTAGATACGAGAAGTTTCTCTCTCTGGCTCCACGTGATCATACGTTGCCTCGTTTTAAGCCTTTGAAGCACCCGTGATCAAAGGTGCTTGCTTTCGATGTGAGATTACGCAAGGCTGGGGAAAAAAAAAGGTCTTCACGGAAATTTAAACGCAATTTATACGACCGTAACCCGAATTCGTTTCGCAGTCGAAAACGACCCATCTTCATAATTCTCGCAATGTTTCCTCGTTAGCGAATATTTTCAGGTGAATTAATTAAATATCGGATTCACGCGAAGCGGAACGAATCCCCGTGAGGACTTTGGAACCCATTTAACGACGAATTTTCTATGCGATAAATTTTATTCGGTTTCTATATGTTGGGGAAAGACCAAAATTATTACTACGGACGATTTTTCTTGAATGCGTGCTTCAAAGGATTAATTGTTGGGTTGTCCAAAAGGTTCATGCTTATTGATCAAACTATTATCTAACAGTAAGACCTGTCCTAATGCCAGGTACCGAAAATCGAACAACAAATGTCTATAAACCATTTCGTCTCATTTCACAAAGTCATATGAAAATGGCAAAAATTAACGTTTTCCAAACAAACTATTTTGTAATGGTGTCGGAAGTATCACTACATGCACATCTGTTTCTAATCGCATTTTGTTTGGTTGGGGTTTAGAAAATGGGGTATATTCCGATCGGGTTGATTTTTTTTATCATAGGTAGCCCTTCACTTGGGGATTGCAATGACGGCCATCTTGACCCATTACTAACACACACACACACACACACACACACACACACACACACACACACACA